TTTTCTCTCCCGACAAGTACAGTAAATGGAAATGGTACTGCATTTGACCATTGCTAGCCATTCAATTCATATTTACAAGACATGATCATTTTTTGTATTATATTTAGTAATTTTCAAAAGACATTAGTTGTAGCAGAATGTAGCAGAATGTAGCAGTATGTTTTGTCGAGGGCCATGCCAGTCAAACAATGCCAATAAAATTCACTTAAAAATAAATTTACATTATGATTTGTTACACAGTCCCCAAAGGTTACTGTAAATTATCTTTGTCTAAGCAAGAAGATAGATTGGAAAGTTTCATTTTAATACTAATTCCTGAGAACCTTTTGTTTTTATTTTATTTATCTGTCTTATGGATAGCAGCAACTACGAGGAAAGTGTTTAATGAACACTTAGCATTCATTCAAAACTTTTTGTTCATAATTCATTACAAACATTATTCAGCATCCAGTGAATCTCCACAACAGACTTATGAATCATTTGTATTCCCTTTTAACAGTTGCCTACATCCCTGAGAGCATGTCTCTGTGGCTTTAAACATTCTTCCCCCTTGAACACCAGGAAGGATTTTGCTACAGTGCAAAGAGACTGAGGCTTTCTCAAAATCTCATCATTTTTACAAGCATGTCCCTGAACTGTCAATTGATTGTCCACAAACCACACACACACATTAAGATGCACTGAATGTTTTGTAACTCAGCAGTAGCAGTCCCTCAATATGAGGATGATGGTCTTCCATTAGATAGGAAAGTCACTGGTGAGTCTGGAAATGACTGAAGAGGCCAATTCAAGATCTGTATGTTCAACTACAGACACGGCAAATTGTTTCAGGGAAAAGTAGTGAGTCCTGGTGATGTCAAGTCACAAATCTTTCCCATTGTCTCTCTTGCTTAACCACCTCCATAGTGAAGCAAGTTTGCTTGAATACTTGATGCCTTTTCCTATTTCATGGTGCCACTGGGGACAATTCAGCGCTCAAGTCTCCCAGGTTTGGATGTTACTATCATGTTTCTTCAGACTGGCCTTCAAGGTGTCCTGGAATCTCATCATTTGCCCATTTCTAAAGTGCTGACTATTGGCAAGTTGCAATACAAGACCTATTTCGGGAGCCAGTTGTCAGGCATCATTATAACATGTCCCACCCAATGAAGCTGGTACCTTATACACCCGGGTCTGATGCTGTTGGTATTTGTGTAAGCCAGAACTGTGGTGTTCATTCTTTCACCCTTCCAACTGACATGGAGAATGTATTGTAGCTCATGACAATCGAAGGCTTTCAGGTGTTTCCAGCTGAGAAGTTCAGTTCTATTTCTCCTTTATTAACTAAGTTTACAGCAGTGTGGGGTGGGGACGGCCTCAAGGATCCCCTCACCACCTACTTCCCCACTTTCCTGTGCCCACTGGATCTCCCTTCCAGCCCTACTCCTCTATGATTCTATAATGGAAGAGGCCAGCTTCTGCCTGGTGGCTGAAGTGGACAAACCAGGACTGCAGACATGTCAGGTGCTGCTAAAACATTAGGGAAGAGACTGCCTCAGGCAGGGGGAGTTGCACTAGACCAGCATTTCTCAACCCGTGGGTTGCGACCCAGAAGCGCATCACAAGAATATATGAAAGGGTCACATACAAACTTCCAAAACTGAGCAACAAACTTTAACAATGGATTCTCCTTTAAAGGAGAAAAACATGGGAAACTGTGGCTTTTCCCTCGCAGGCTGGCAGAGTTCCAGTCTCCAAGGGGCTGCTTATCCCACACACAAACCCCTTGCCCCACACACCCTCCCCTGCCCCACACACTGTGGGGCTGAGGCCTGGGGGCAGGGGGCAGTGGGTTGGGAGTGATGGGCTCCCAACCTACTGCCCAGTATGGGTCAGGACTAGCCATCAATGTTTACAAATGGGTCCTGATACAGCCGGCCACAAGCCGTCCCTGATGGTTTACACCCCAGGGTACTCAAGCAGCTGGCAAGCATCATAGCTCAGCCCCTGGCACGGATCTTTGAGAACTCCTGGTGCTCTGGTGTAGTGCCCGAAGACTGAAAGAAGGCCAATGTGGTGCCTATCTTCAAGAAAAGGAGGAAAGTAGATCCAGCAAACTACAGGCCCATCAGCCTGACCTCTATCCTGGGGCAGGTCTTGGACAAGATTATCAAAGAAGCCATCCTTAACAGACTAGCTGACGGCAATATCCTGAGGGATACCCAGCACTGGTTTGTTGTGGGTAGGTCTTGCTAGACCAATCTCATTTCCTTTTATGACCAGGTGACCTATCACCTCGACAAGGGAGAAGAGATTGATGTTGTATATCTTGACTTTAAAAAAGCCTTCAATCTGGTATCCCATGATCACCTCTTGGCAAAACTGGCTAACTGCGGCCTTGACCTCACCACGATCCGCTGGATGGGGAATTGGCTCTGCGGCAGGACCCAGAGGGTGGTGGTTGATGGAAGGCAATCGTCTTGGTGCGCGGTCACCAGTGGGGTCCCTCAAGGCTCTGTCCTAGGGCCTTTAATTTTTAACATCTTCATCAATGATGTGAACATTGGTGTCAGAAGCGGACTGGCCAAGTTTGTTGATGACACCAAACTCTGGGGTAAAGCATCCACACCTGAGGACAGGAGGGTGATCCAGGCAGATCTTGACAGGCTCATGAAATGGGCTGATGAGAATCTGATGGTGTTTAACTCTGAAAAATGCAAGGTTCCCCACCTTGGGAGGAAAAACCTGCAACATGCTTATAGGCTCAGCAGTGCTACGCTGGTTAGCACTACAGATGAAGGGGACTTGGGAGTCATGACTGACCACAAGATGAACATGAGCCTTCAATGCGATGCTGCGGCTAGTAAAGCAAGCAAAACGCTGGCTTGCATCCATCAATGCTTCTCGAGCAAATCCCTGGACGTCATTCTCCTGTTGTACTCAGTCTTGGTGAGGCCACAGCTGGAGTACTGCATCCAGTTTTGGGCTTCACAATTCAAAAAGGATGTGGTGAAGCTTGAGTCCTAAGAAGAGCCACACACATGATCAGAGGTCAGGAAACAGACCTTATGACGACAGGCTGAGAGCCATGGGACTCTTCAGCCTGGAAAAGCGCAGGCTCAGGGGTGATCTGGTGGCCACCTCTAAGTTTATCAGGGGTGCTCATCAGGATCTGGGGAAATGTCTGTTCACTAGAGCGCCCCAAGGGATGACAAGATCAAACAGTCACAAACTCAGCTGTGACTGATTCAGGCTGGACATAAGGAAGAACTTCTTTACTGTCCGAGCCCCCAAGGTTTGGAATAGACTGCCGCTGGAGGCAGTTCAAGCACCCACGTTGAACAACTTCAAGACACATTTGGATGCTTATCTTGCTGGGATCCTATGATCCCTGCTGACTTCCTGCCCCTGGGGCAGGGGGCTAGATTCGATGATCCTCTGGGGTCCCTTCCAGCCCAAATATCTATGAAATCTATGAAAAAAGGTTGAGAACCATTGCACTAGATGACTTGTGGAGTCCTTTTCAGCCCTCCTTCTGAGCTATGTAAGGAGAACCTATAGGATTATTTAGTGACTTTAGCAAGGGTTTTGATACCATCTCCCACAACATTCTCTCAGGCAAGCTAAGGAAGTACAGGTTGGATGAATGCACTGCAAGGTGAACAGAAAACTGCCTGGATCGTTGGGCTTAGAGGGTAGTAATCAATGGCTCGATGTCTAGTTGACAGCCAGTATCAAGTGGAGTGCCCCAGGGGTCGGTCCTGGGGCTGGTTTTGTTCAATATCTTGATCAACTACCTAGAAGACGGCATAGAGTGCACGCTCAGCAAATTTGCAGATGACACCAGGATGGAGGGAGAAGTAGATATGCTGGATGACAGGGCTAGGATTCATAGTGACCTACACAAATTGGAGGATTGGCCCAAAAGAAATCTCATGAGGTCCTGCACTTAAGACAGAACAATCCCATGTACCGTTACAGTCTGGGGACTGACTGGCTAAGCAATAGTTTTGCAGAAAAGGACCTGGGGGTTAAAGGTCTGTCTGTCTAGCTAATCACATGGGGTGCTTCTACACGTGCTTTAATGCACATTAGCCTATTTTAATGTACATTAAAGCATCACAAAAATGTGCTCTTTAGCTAATGTGCATTTAAACAGGCTAAGGCACCTTTTCTAGTACCTCGCAATGGAGGGCATTTTTACATGTGCTGTGGGATGTGGTGCCTGGCACTTCAGTTAGCAAGCTGCGCTTATTAAAAGTGCCCGCATGTCACATGTATCAGCATCCCCGCGCTGAAAAAACGGTGGCGGTGTGCTTTGAACTAATGCTCATCAAACATGTTTTATTTCAAAGTGCCCTTGCTGTCACTTTTTCAGCGCAGAGATGCACCGGGACGCTAGTACAGGTGATGTGGAAGGCTGCTAGAGCACCTCAGTTTCTGTGTTCCAGCAGTCTACTCCCATACACTGGATGTCCAGCAGGCTGTTTGCACGTGTATAGCAGCCTCAAAGCACAAGATTTAATGCTGGTTACCTAAAGTGCATTACAGCACAAGTGTCGATGTGGTTCTACACACACACACACTAATGGGGAGCGGGGTGGGGGGGTAGAAGGGGAGCAGAGAGTCACACACGCACGCACACACTCTCTCTCTTTCACTCGCGTCGCAGGGGAGCACAGGGCCTGGGCAGGCAGACGCGCGTGTGCAGGCGGCGCACGGAGCGGCCGGAAGGGCGCGCAGAGGGGGCCGGCCGTGGCCTGGTGCCTGGCGGGGCAGGGAGCGGCGGAGGAGGGCGGGCCGGCCCCGGCGC